GAGACATCTGTACCCCCATGTTTACTGCAGCACTATTCACAATAGCAAGATGCAGAATCAATCTATGTGTCCAATAACAGATGAATGAATGAAGAACATGTGGTGTATGTACATAATGGAATACCATACAGCCATCAAAAAGAATGAAATCCTGTCATTCACAGTAACATGGATGGAACATTATGTTAAGTGAAATAAGCCAGGAGCATAAAGTTAAACATGGCATGTTCTCACTCATATGTGAAAGCTAAAAACAGTGATCTCACAGAAGTAAAAGTAGAACAGTTTAGTAGAGGCTGGCGACTTGTAGAGGGAAGAGGATGACAGGCAGAGATTGATTAAAGGATACATAATTACAGCTAGACAGGAGAAGTCAGTTCTAGTGTTCTACACACTGTAGGATGACTACAGTTAACAATAATTCTTAGTTTCAAATAGCTAGAAGGAATGATAGTGAATATTTCCAATACAAATGTTTGAGATGATGAGTATGCTAATTACTACAATCTTACCACTATACATTATATATATTGAAGCATCATTACATATCCCATAAATATGTACAATTATTTTATGTCAATTTAAAAATAGGCCAGGGCCAGGCACAGTGGTTCACGCCTGTAATCCCAGCACTTTGGGAGACCAAGGCAGGTGGATCATTTGACGTCAGGAGTTCGAGACCAGCCTGGCCAACATGGTGAAACCCTGTCTCTACTAAAAATACACAAATTAGCTGGGCGTGGTGTCAGGCACCTATAGTCCCAGCTACTTGAGAGGCTGAGCCAGGAGGATCAACTGAACCCAGGAAGCAGAGATTGCAGCGAGTCCAGACTGTACCACTGCATTCCAGCCTGAGCGACAGAGTGAAATTCCATCTCAAAAAAACAAAGTAGGCTGGGCATGTTGGCTCATGCCTGTAATCTCAGTACTTTGGAAGCCTGAGGCAGGAGGCTAACTTGAGACCAGTAGTTCAAGACCAGCCTGGGGAACATGGCAAGACCCTGTCTCTACAAAAAATAAAAGAAGAAATAGAAAATTGTTTAACACATGCAAAAAAGACTGCTACTAATATCATGAATCCTTTGAATTGAGTAAATAAGTAAAAAATTTTAAATGTATATGTTAAACATTTTCTAGAATCAATATGCTATTAGAAACAGTACGATATTACCAGTTTTTTGTTTTTGTTGTTTTGTTTTTTTGTTTTTTTGAGACACTGTCTCACCGTCGCCCAGGCTGGAGTGCAATGGCGCAATCTTGGCTCACTGCAACCTCCACCTCCGTGTTCAAGCAATTCTCCCTGCCTCAGCCTCCCGAGTAGCTGGGAGTACAGGCACCCGCCACCACACCGGGCTAATTTTTGTATTTTTAGTAGAGACAGGGTTTTGCCATGTTGGCCAGGCTGGTCTCAAACTCCTGACCTCAGGTGATCTGCTTGCCTTGGCCTCCCAAAGTACTCGGATTACAGGTGTGAGCCACTGCCCTCGGCTGATATTACCAATTTTAAAAGTATCCACAAGGCTGGGAGCGGTGGCTCACTCCTGTAATCCCAGCACTTTGGAAGGACTAGGTGGTAGATCACTTGAGGTCAGGAGTTCAGGACCAGCCTAGCAAACATGGTGAAATCCCATCTCTACTAAAAAAAAATACAAAAATTAGCCAGGTGTAGTGGCATATGCCTGTAACCCCAGTTACTCCGGAGGCTGAGGCATGAGAACTGCTTGACCTGGGAAGCAGAGGTTGCAGTGAGCCGAGATTGTGCCACTGCACTCCAGCCTGGGTGACAGAGCGAGACTCTGTCTCAAGAAAAAAATAATAACAGTAATAAATAAAAAACAAAAGTATCAATCGAACAACTGTTTTCTCAGTATGAATATTTTCAAACACAAAGAAAAATGCATAAAGCAACTTTTACAAATTGAGACAAGAACTGGCAACATGTTCTTTTGGATATTCTCAGTAGTATCAAATCTTGACTAAAGATGGATATGATTTGTATAAAGAGATTAAATAATTCAGAACCCTTCTTGATGAATAAAACAGGTAATCACACTGGGGTGAACACAATTAGGGGCAACAAGTTATTTTTCTGACCCTCAGTTTCCTTATCTGAAGGCAGTTTGAAAAGAAGAGATAGAAAATACATTTCAAGTGTGTAGCCTCTCCAAGACATTACTCTGAGGACAAATATTTAGTTAGACTTGCTTAAAACCCACTCCTATTATCTTATTCATATAAAGCATTTGCTATAGTGCCTGACATATAATAATAAGCATTCAATAAACGTTAGCTACTACTATTAGCTATCAGTAGTTACATTTCCAAAGGATAACTGAATCTGGCAAAGTTAAGGCCTTAGCATTTGTTCTTTTGATTTACAAGATGAGTTTTCTTTTTTAAATCTAACATACTGAGCACTGGCCGGGTGCGGTGGCTCATGCCTATAATCCCAGCACTTTGGAAGTCCAAGGCAGGTGGATCACTGGAGGTCAGGAGTTTAAGATCAACCTGGCCAACATGGTGAAACCCTGTCTCTACTAAAAATACAAAAATTAGCTGGGTGTGGTGGTAGGTGCCTATAGTACCAGCTACTCAGAAGGTTGAGGCAGGAGAATCGCTTGAACTCAGGGGGTGGAGGCTGCAGTGAGCTGAGATTGCACCACTGCACTCCAGCCTGGGCGACACAGCGAGACTCAATCTCAAAAAAAATAATAATAATAATATACTAAGCATAATCATTAAATTGAGATTAGAAAGAAATGCTAGCACTGGCACAATCTCTTAAACGGTTGTACAGCTGTGTAAGGGACTTTTAACTTTAACATATATAATACAAAAATTTACCCTAGTTATTATGACAGGTTGGAAAAATCCAGAGAGACTGCAGGCATGAGGAACTTCGTGAAAAACAAGGAATGTAGAGGTCTTCTTCTTTCCTAAATTATCCCAAAATGCCTCAGTTACAGCCTCATTTCATCCTACTCTTCCTTGGAACACATTATTGGCACTTATACTTAACAGTTTTATACATATAAAGTCACAGCAAAAGTATAAACCACTATCTGGCATCCAGGAGCAAGGATACCTCCAATACAGGTGTAGGAAGGCTGTGTGGCACAGTGGGATGAGCATATATTTAAAGTTGGACAGACTTGCACATGAATTAGGACTCCACTATTTACTTGCAGTTTGACCCTCAGCAAGTTACTTCTCAGCCTCAGTTTATCTGTATGTAAATGGGGATGATAATAGCTACCTTATAGAGTTTTTACGAAAATTCCATGAAAATGTATGTAAAATGCCTGGCACATAGGCATTCAATAAATGATAGCTATTATTATTGCCAAATTTTCATTCTATTCTATAGCTGTGGACAAATCATATTCCATACTTATGAATTTACCAACTGTAAAGATATAAAGGTGTATCTTAGCTTTTTTTTGTTTTTGTTTTTTGGTTTTTTTGTTTGTTTGAGACAGAGTCTCGCTCTGTCGCCCAGGCTGGAGTGCGGTGGCACAATCTCTGCTCACTGCAACCTCCACCTCCTGGGTTCAAGCGATTCTCCTGTCTCACCCTCCCGAGTAGCTGGGACTATAGGTGTGCACCACCACACCCGGCTAGTTTTTGTATTTTCAGTAGAGACGGGGTTTCACCATGTTGGTCAGGCTGGTCTCGAACTCCTGACCTCGTGATCCGCCCACCTCGGCCTCCCAAAGTGCTGGGATTACAGGTGTGAGCCACCGCGCCCAGCCAAGGTATATCTCTTTCAAATTAAAACTTGAAGTAACAAAAATACTCCCTACATAAGCAAAACTACACAGATAAGAACTTCTCAATTGATTTTCAGAATTGGTTTTTGAAAATCAAAGTACTAAATTGGCTGTGATTTCCCATCTCAAAGGTCAAAATCAGAAATTAGTTTTTCCATAACAGTAATAATTCTCCCACTGTCAAAAGAAGATACAAGGGTTTTTTTGTGTTTGTTTGTTTTGAGACAGAGTCTCGTTCTGTCACCCCAACTGGAATGCGGTGGTACGATCTCGGCTCACTGCCACCTCTGCCTCCTGGGTTCAAGTGATTCTCCTGTCTCAGCCTCCCGAGTAACTGGGATTATAGGCATGTATTGCCACATCCAGCTAATTTTTGTATTTTAGTAGAGATGGGGTTTCACCATCTTGGCCAGGCTGGTCTCAAACTCCTGACCTCAGGTGATCCACCTGCCTCGGCCTCCCAAAGTGCTAGGATTACAGGCGTGAGCCATCACGCTCGACCCGAGGTAAGATATTTTATACTGGCAAACCTCTAAATGGATACAAGTTATAGGAGTTATTTCTGACATGACTTCTCAGCTGTGCATGGTGGCTCACATTGGAAGATTGCTTGAGGCAGGGAGTTTGAGGCCAGCCTTGGCAACAGAGTGAGACCTTATCCCTACAAAAATAAAAATAAAAAGATTAGCCAAGCTGTAGTCCCAGCTACTCAGGAGGCTGAATCAGATCACATAAACCCAGGAGCTCTGTGCCACTGCACTCCAGCCTGGGCAACAGAACAAGACCGTTTCTTAAAAAATTTAAAAAAAAAAAAATACGTTTCAAAGTCAAAAAAAAAAAAGGTTTGCCACATTAGAAATGAAAAACGTTGAAATTAGCCAGGCGTGGTGGCACAAGCCCGTGCTCCCAGCTACACGGGAGGCTGAGCTGGGAGGATCACTTGGGCCCAGGAGGTTGAGGCTGCAGTGAGTCATGTTTGCACCACTGCACTCCAGCCTGGGTAACAGAGTGAGACCCTGTCAAGAAGAAAAAAAAAAAAAAAAAGTTTATTTCTAAATTACACAGTAAGAGGGAAGATAGGTAAAAATAAATGAATTCATAGTCCTGGAATCAGGCTCACGTGGCCTTCTCGGTTATTTCTAAGAAAATAATTAAATGGCTACTGTAGCACTTCAAAATCCAATCCAATTAACAGCACATAATTTTTGTTTCCTCTGTTTATTTTTTTACCATGAAAAGCCATGGTCCGAAGCAGTCGATCAGCCACCTCCTGTGGGAATACTCCAGGTTCCTGCAGACACAATGTTCCATCTTGTCTGGCTGAACAGAACTTCTCAAGGTGAGTAGTCAAGAAATTCAAGCAGATATCAAGTAGGGAATAAGGAGATGCCTCCTCCTTGGAGCCCAGGGAAAAATATAAAGGAAACACAAAAACCAACAAGTTAGTTTCCAGAAAAGCAGAGAATAAAACATTCATTTACTCATTCTACAAGTATTTCTTTAGTGTCTTATCATATGCTAGACACTGTGTAAGGCAGTGGAATACAATCTGTGATCCATGTTCTCAAGAAGCAATAGAAGAGAAACACTGAAACAAACATTTATATACAGTCCCTTTAGTACTAAAATAGAAGACACACTGGGTACTAAGTAAGCACACAGCAGGGGGTTCTAATCAGTCGGGGGATGGTGAATGGAAAACCTCAGAGCTTAGGAAGCTCGAAACCAACTAAAGCATCACAATATGCTGTTCAGACATGAGTACGAAGCTGAGAGAGCTGTTTTTTAAAAATAGGGTAGGGCTGAGATGGGAGGATCATTTGAGGCCAGGAGTTCGAGACCAGCCTGGCCAACGTGGCGAAACCCCATCTCCACTAAAAATACAAAAGTTAGCCAGGCATGGTGGTGGATGTCTGTAATTCCAGCTACTGAGGAGGCTGAGGGAGGAGAATCACTTGAACCCGAGAGGCGGAAGCTGCAGTGAGCCGAGGTTATGCCACTGCACTCCAGCCTAGGTGATAGAGTGAGGCTCTGTCTCAAAAAACAAACAAGGGCGGGTGTGGTGGCTCACGCCTATAATCCCAGCACTTTGGAGGCCGAGGCGGGTGGATCACCTGAGGTCAGGAGTTTGAGACCAGATTGACCAACATGGAGAAACCTCGTCTCTACTAAATACTAATACGAAATTAGCCAGGCATGGTGGCACATGCCTGTAATCCCAGTTACTTGGGAGGCTGAGGCAGAAGAATTGCTTAACCTGGGAAGCAGAGGTTGCAGTGAGCCGAGATCACGCCATTGCACTCTAGCCTGGGCAACAAGAGCGAAACTCCATCTCATAAAACAAACAAAAAAGACAAGCTTATCCTAAGATTCATATGGAAATGCAACACCTAGAATAGCCAAAATGATCTTGGAAAAGAAAAACAAAGTTGAAAGACTTTGATTACTATAGTAATCAAAACTGTATGGCACCAGCATAAGGACACACTGATCAATGAACTAGAATTCAGAGTTCAGATTTAAACTCTTACATTCATGGTCAATTGATACTGACAAGAGTGCCAGGATAACTCAATGGGCTTGCTTTTTGGCCAGGAGCGGTGGCTCATACCTGCAATCCCAGCACTTTGGGAGGCCAAGGCAGGCAGATTATGAGGTCAGGAGATGGAGACCATCCTGGTTAACACAGTGAAACCTCATCTCTACTAAAAATACAAAAAAATTAGCCAGGCGTGTTGGCAGATGCCTGTAATCTCAGACACTAGGGAGGCTAAGGCAGGAGAATTGCTTGACCCTGGGAGGTGGAGGTTGCAATAAGCCAAGATGGCACCATTGCACTCCAGCCTGGGTGACAGAGTGAGACTCTAAAAAAAAAAAAAAAAAAGAAAGAAAAAAAAGAATAGGCTTTTCAACAAAGGGTGCTGGGACCACTGGACATCAACATACAAAAGAATAAAGACAGAGTCCTTCACACTATGTAGAAAAATTACCTCAAAATAGATCAAGGTCATAAATATAAGAGCTAAGATTGTTTCTCTTAGAAGAAAACATAGGTGTAAAAAGTTTAGGCTTTAGATTAGTAAAGTTTCTTAGATATGACACCAATGTATATCTATTAAACTTTATCAAAATTAAAAACTTTTGTGCTTCAAAGATCATCATACAGGAAGTGAAAAGGACACAGTGGCTAACACCTGTAATGCCAGAACTTTGAGAGGCTGAGGCAGGAATATTGCTTGAGCCCAGCAGTTTGAGACCAGTCTGAGGAACATGGTGAAACCCTGTCTCCACAAAAGATACAAAAATTACCCGGGTGTGGTGGTGCATGCCTGTAACCCCAGCTACTTGGGAGGCTGAGGCAGAAGAATTGCTTGAACCCACGAGGCGGAGGTTGCAGTGAGCCGAGATCACGCCATTGCACTCCAGCCTGGGTGACAAGAGGGAAACTCCCTCTCAAAAAATAAAAAAATAAATAAATGTAAAATAAACTGATAAGAATAGATACTACACTTGATCTTAGCCAAAAGGCTGAGAAGTAGTCAAAGGTAGGCCGGGTGCGGTGGCTCATGCCTGTAATCCCAACACTTTGGGAGGCCAAGGAGGGTGGATCACCTGAGGTCAGGAGTTCGAGACCAGCCTGGCCAAAACGGTGAATGCTGTCTCTACTAAAAATACAAAAATTAGCTAGGCATGGTTGCAGGTGTCTGTAGTCCCAGCTACTTGGGAGGCTGAGGCAGGAGAATTGCTTGAATCCAGGAGGCAAGGGCTGCAGTGAGCCAGGATGGTGCCACTGCACTCCAGCCTGGGCAATAGAGCCAGACCCCATCTCAAAAACACAAATAAATAAATAAATAAAAGGCAAAGGGGCTGGAGCACAGTGGCTCACACCTGTAATCCCTTCGCGGAGAGCCGAGCCAGGCGAAGATCAGCCCTAAGCGTCAGGAGTTCGAGACCGAGCTGGCCAACATGGTGAAACCTCGCGTCTCTAGTCAACAATACAAAAACCTGCGCCCAGGCCAAGTGGCTTCAAAGCCTGTAATCCACCCACTTTGGAAGAGCGAGTGGCAAGGTGATCACCAGTGAAGTCGGGCAGTTCGAGACCAGCCTGACCAAACAGCAGAACCCCCGTCCTACTAAAATACAAAATTAGCTGGGGCATGGTGGTGCCATTGGCCTGTAATCCCAGCTACTTTGGGAGGCTGAGGCGGGAACGGAATTGCTTGAATCCACGAGGCAGAGGCTGCGGGAGCCGAGACACTGGTGCGCCTCTGGCCTGAGGCAACAAGACACAAACCTCCTGTCCTCAACAAACAAAAAATACAAAAAATTAGGCGCCCAGGTTGTCGGTTGCAGATGCTGAATTCTAGACCCCTGGAGGGCTAAGGCAGGAGAATTGCTTGGACCCCTGGGAGGCTGGGAGGTTGGCATAAGCCCAAGATGGCCACATTGCACCTCCAGCCTGGGTGGACAGGAGTGAAGACTCTAAAAAAAAAAAAAAAAAAAAAAAATAAGAACACATGGACAACAATTGTTGTGCGGAGAACAACCATTGGACAGAACCTCATATATTGCTGGTGGAAATGAAAAATGTTGCGGCTGCCTTGGAAAACAGCTTAGAAGTTTATCACAAAATTAAACAGAGTTACCAATATGACCCAGGAATTCTACTCCTAAATATATACCCAGAAATAAAAACATGCCCACACAAAATCTTGTATATGAATGTTTACACAAGCATTGTTCATAACAGTTAAAAAGTGGTCTGAGGTTGGGCACGGTGGCTCACACCTGTAATTCTAGAAGTTTGGGAGGCCGAGGTGGGTAGATCATGAGGTCAGGCGTTCAAGACCAGCCTGACCAATTTGGTGAAATCCCGTCTCTCCTAAAAATACAAAAATTAGCTGGGTGTGGTGATGCACTTCTGTAATCCCAGCTACTCAGGAGACTGAAGCAAGAGAATCGCTTGAACATGGGAGGTGGAGGTTGCAGTGAGCTGAGATCACGCTGCCGCACTCCAGCCTGGGCGACATAGCGAGACTCTGTCCCCCCTCAAAAAAAAAAAAGTGGTCTGAATTGTTTTTACTCACAACACTACTGACACCAAATTTCTGGGCTCTTCCCACGCCAACAACCAGTTCTGACACCAACTGGATATCCTACAATTCAATTTGATTCTGACACTAACTACCCAGAATTAGCATAGCACTACAGTTTAGGCCACTGCCCCACTGCAGGTGCCAGCCGCAAGTCCCAGGTTTCCACCTGTTCTTCTGACCAATGGACTATAAACTGTGGGATTCCAAGATCCCCTGAGGAGGGCCTCATGTTTGATTATCTGCTAATATGACTCACAGAACTCAGGAAGGCACTTCACTTACCATTAACTTCCAAGGAGGGGAGAGGGGCTCAAAGTTGTTGATAACCAATGGCCAGTGATTTAATCAATCATGCATATGTAGGCCTCCATAAAACCCCCCAAAAATGGGGTTTGGAAAGTATCCAGGATGCTGCACACACTGAAGTGCTGGGAGGGGGGTGTGCTGGAGAAGGCATGGAAGCTTCAAGCTCCTTCCCCCTAGGTTGCCCTATGTATGTCTTCCATCTGGCTGTTCATCTGTATCCTTCAAAATATCCTTTGTAATAAAGTAAGTAAACTTTTCATGGGTTCTGTGAGCACTCTGGCAAATTATCAAACCCAGGGAGCGAGGTGTAGGAACCTCCAATTTGTAGCCAAGACTGACAGGTGTTGTGGTTAATCCAGAGACCTACTACCTGAATTGGCATCTGAAGGAGGCCATCTTGTGGAAGTGAGCCGCTCACTTGTGAGGTCTATGCTAACGCTGGTTACTGTCAGAACGGAGGTAAATTTTAGGGCACCCAACTGATGTCTGCTGAAAATAGAATTGCTCTGTATTGGAAAAAAAAAAAAACCACACATCTGATCACAGAAGTGATCTGTGTTGAGAGTACAGTAGGAGAAAACAGTTTCTTTTCTCCTACTATATGGTTTGGTATCAAAAGTATTGAGAGTGGTGTGAATATAAAGGAGTATAAAGAAAGAAAAAATGTTTTTTCCTGTCATATGCCTTGGTCCTTCTGGCAACCAGCCCAGAAAGAAGCTATCTAGGGGCTCCCAGACACCAGTCAACTCATTAGCATACAAAAACTCTTTTCACTCCAGAGCTTCCAAGGGGTTTGGGAGCTAACGTGCAAGAAACAGGGTATGAAGACCAAATTTTTGGGGGGTGTTTTTTTTTGTGTGTTTTTGAGACAGAGTCTTGCTCTGTCACTCAGGCTGGAGTGCAGTGGTAATCTTGGCTCACTGCAACCTCCACCTCATGGCAGGTTCCAGTGATTCTCCTGCCTCAGCCTCCAGAATAGCTGGGACTACAGGCA